AACCGGCCTTTGAAGGTCTAGCAGCAGCAGTCATGGTGATATTCAGAATCAGCATCGTCGACTACCTATAGTCCACTAGGTTCCGTTCAAAAAGCGATTTATCAGTTGGGGTACTTTCCTCGTCAGATGTTAATGATTGTTTTGGATGCTAGTATACTCAACTCGACGAACTCTATCGATTGGCTATTTCACATTTTAATTTCGACGATTTTGAAGTGTTGGTGGGTGCTTTCACGTTTTAAAAATATCTCTGCCATTGCACATGATAAATATATGCAGAACAAATGTGCCTTTTCTCATTTTTGTTTAATATAAACTATGAGATGAATTATATGACGATTGGATCTAAATCAGCTTCTGCTCACATTCCAAGCCGGGATTATTTTTGTGACACAGCTTCTCAGCTCAGTTACCCCTTCAAACAGACATGGAGAATCTTGAGGATGAACATCGTTCAGATAAACGATTCAAGATAATACGCAGTAGTTTTTTGTACATTGATCCGACTATACATTGAATTATCCGTGAGAAATATTTCGATTACAAAAGTGTATCCTCAAGTAATGTCTGTATCATATGTCTCTAACACGATTTCAACAGAAAACTTATAAGCCGCATCGAACACGCATGAAAGACACTCTCTTTTTGAAGTCACAGTCAATTAATATGGAAAACACACTTTTTTAAAGTGCATCTTATTTACAGATACCACAATACGATGCAACGAATATAACGCCTATTGAAGAAATTATTCTGAGTTTTGTGACTTATTTGGGCGTTGGCTTATCAATATTTGGTCTCACTTTAACTCTTCTCACTTATATCATATTTCGGTAAGAGAATCATGCGTCATTATTTGTAAACTATTATCTATTTCAGAAAAAATGGACTCAGCCATTTTTTAAATAGATTTTAACTGAAAGTCGATAGAGACTTGCGATTTTCGCCGTTTAACAGTCAGAAGTTGGATACAGGTTTTCTTATAACAAAAAGTCCAAAATTCTTTTTTTAGGTGAGATTTTGAATGAGTATGTGAAATGAGTATATGTTTCAGGTGATTTGTTTTTATTTTTTTAATGAGCACAGGTCTGAAAATATCTTGCAAAAAATGAAAGGCAACAATCTATCGTGACCCAGACGCGGCAATGGGTTTATTGTAAGTCTCGACTTTTTTATAACTTGGCCTACGTGTATCTCAAAAATTCATGAAACATAGTTTATTAATCACCATGACTGTCCTAGTGATGTTTATATACGGTGAAAAAATTTAAAAACGTAGGAAAATTCTATTTAAGTTAAAGTTTCCCAATTTCCTAAGAAATTCAAAGGTTACTCCAAGGCGGCGCAAACGATTTGAAAATTTTCGAATATAACTAGTTTTGGAAGATTCAAAATCCCATATTCAAAAAATGACTGAATGTTTTACGAAAATCTGTATTCAACTTTTGACTGGCAAAAACCGGAAGTATTTATCATTTTTTTTATAAGACACTACTTAAAAAGTATCCATCAGTCCATTGTTTTCGAAATGTATAATAAATATTATATTTTTATTTATTTTTAGTCGTACAACACAACAAAATAATTTACATTTTTCGCTAATTATGCTATGTATATCACTGTTAGTTGTCAATTGTATTTACATTCCATTTAGTCTATTCAAACCGAATAACGTTGCTCGTATTCCTTGCCTTGTTCTAGCCACATTACTTCACTATTTCATTTTGGCATCATTTATATGGATGTTAATTGTATCTATCAATCAATACTTGAATTTTGTTATCGTATTCAATACACATATATCAAAGTTCAAAGCAAAAACATTTCTATTTGGATGGAGTACGTAGTTTGCCGATTTTTATAAAATTATAGATAATGTAACTCTTATTACTTTTTAGTTTTACCCTGTATTTTTCCCGTATTTGTACTCTTATTGGATAAAAGTAGTTATTCATCATCTTATTGTTGGATTAAAGATCAATTATTATTATATCTAACATTCATGTTTCCCATATTACTCATATCGTCCTTTAATTTAGTTATATTCTTCTATGTTGTTAAAAGTATATTTCGAAAAGAAACAAAATTAATTAAATTTGAAAAAAATTTAAGAAAACGACAAATTGGTGCAGCACTATGCTGTTTTGCTTCAATAGGTAATTGATAGGAGAAAATGATAATATTCATATTCTATTATTCTTCATTTTTAGGTTGTACATGGTTCTTTGGATTATTTATTATTTATAAACCTTCTTTTATAATTCAGTTATTATTTTGCATTTTGAATTCTAGTCAAGGTTTTTTAATATTTTTATTTCATACTTTCTTATCAAAACCAAAACGTGAATTATGGCGTGCATTATTCATTGCTCATAAATCACCGAATCAAATGGTAACACCTATGGCATATAAGTTTACGTCAACATCGTCAACAAAAAGTATAACACAACAACAGCAACAATCATCTGTGAAAACAAGCAAAACAAATAGTAAAGATGGAGAAAACTTTTTACGACGACGATCATTAGATTGATTGAACGATCGTAAATAATGGTAGTTTGACCGTTAATATAAGACTCTTTTGCATTGTGCATTAGTTAGTTGTTTTTCATCATCTATGTTAGCTTCACGAATCATGAACGCATGATTAATTGCAATATTAACCGACGTTGTACTCTTTCTACTATAATTTTTGTAATGAACGAGAGATTAGAGGAAAAAATTCAATGTTGGTAATAAATTTTTGACTTAACGCATCTATCTCATTCGCTCGATGAGCAATCATGATTTTTACACCCACTTATTTTATACTATTAAGCAGTGGATTTAATAGACTTTTAGTGAAAGTCATAATTTCCACCTGGCTTTTTAAAGCATTTTGTTGTCCATGACGATTTACATATATCGTGACACGTTTGAACCTCCATTACACATTTTCTTTTAACTTTTAAAAGTTTACAGAAATTTAAGACGATTTTTTTAAAAAGTTCACTGTTCATTAAAGACTGGCTCCGATCGACCAACGAGACCGTACTACCTATATACTAAACTTATTACAAACTTTGAATGAAGTTCGATTAACAAAAATTTTGATTTTTCTTGAATTGTCGATTTTTCAGAAAACTAGTATTTTTTAAGAGCCTTGCCGCTCATTGTGGCTCAACGAAACACGATGGAGAGGAATTTTTGCTGACAAACCTTTTCCCTGGGTGCCAAATGGGTACTGAGTGTAATACGTTTTCCAGTGTAACGCAAAACTTTTGAGAAAAATTAAATTTAAGAATTTAAAATTATTAAAAAGCTTAAAATTCAGTTTTTCTCAAAATTTTTGCGTTACACTGGAAAACGTATTACACTCAGTACCCCATTTGGCACCCAAGGAAGAGGTTTGTCAGCAAAAACTTTTCTCCATCGTGCTTCGTTGAGCCGCAATCTGTGGCAAGGTTCTTAAAAATTACTACTCTCCGTCCCAAAATATAAGACCGGTAGTTGTTTTCTGAATAACTCTGAGACGATAAAAGATAGAGACTTGCGATTTTCGGCAGTAGAAAGGGGACAGTTTAACCTATATTTCCCTAAGCAAAAACAAGCGATTTTTTCCATGGGTAGATAGTCCTAAGTGTCTTCTTTAAAATAAGACCTAAACAAAGGTTTCACTTTGATTGATTTAGGAGCTTCAGACGTTTTTCCGAAGCCCTGGGACTGCTCTATTCTTCTTGCTGAGATCTTCTGTAATCATGAAAACATTGGTTATTGAACACGCTGAATCTTGTGGCAATGTTAATTTTCAGAAGAAAGTGTAAGGACGGAGTGAAAACCTGCACTAGGTGAAATAACTCATTTTGGGCTATTTTCATCAAAAATTAAAAAATTCTTGGTGAATAACAAACAGAAACTGTTACTAGACGCGTTTCTGACTGCTATTAGCAGAGATAGAGAGTGATACGAGAACAAGTGCCTTGGCTTAAGACTCCTTGAACCCAACTTAAAACTTTAATTT